GTTTGTACTTTTAGGGGCTGCGGTAAGTGGAAGGAGATGGACTAATCCCATCTTGGTTGTCACATTGTGTTCCTGTTGGGACAAAGAGAAGGAGAAGGCCATGTCCCTGTGGTATTAGACTGATCGTAGCATATCATCACTGTTCTTATAATTTCTTTACTTCAAACCATGTAATTGATGTCTAAAATAGAAACAGATTTTTGGCTAAAGGGAATAAGAAAGTATGCCAATGACAAGAAGTCATGTCCTTTTGCTTGGGTAGTTTTTAATGACCAAGAATTTTATGGAGGGGAATTTCTGCCCTAGGACGCTCTCATAGTATGCCTGTGTCCTCCCTGATTCATTGAATACACAGCTATGAATGTGAACTTTCCCTTGGACTTAGCATCCTGCCACTGGATTGTCTTAGCATTGCAGTTTACGTAGGTGTAGCCTGGAGCTACTTACCACAGCCATGCTCTGCACTGAGCATGGTCTGCATAGCTATGGAAAATATGTGTGACTTCCTTGAGAGCATGGGTGTAAATCCAGCTAGAGATGCTCTCAAAATACTTCTGAGTCTTAAAGCAGGAGGAGGATCCAGAGGTTAGATCCAGGCCTTCTGACAACACTGAGGGATAGCAGACTAAGGGGAGTCTGTATCGTCCTCCAGTGGAAGTGGTCATCAGGGTCACCTGAAGGTTTGTTGTTGTTGGGCCTCACACCTAACATTTCAGATCTAGTAGGTCTGGGGTAGACCTGAGAATTTGCAATTCTCACAGTTTCTTAGCTGATGCCAAAGCTCTTTTTGAGAGCCATTGTTCTATGGCTTCTCCGTTCTGTTGAATCCACACCCCTGGAAGACTAGGATGAAGTTTCATGATGATGAGCAGAGCACTGTGGCTTTCCTGCAGTGCCTGGGCCAGATTGGAGTCGCTCATTCTGACCACTAGCCATGCTCATAGATTAAAGAAGAATTTTAACTACCTACTCTTCCTGAGGTTGTGTCTCATTTCAAGTTAGGTCTTCTAGTTGGGTGGCTTCCAAAAGCCAGTTAAAGAACCAGCACTGGGCTGATTGTATAAGCAAATTTAAGGAACTTGTTAGAAATACAAATTCCTGGTCTCTGCCCTAGGATTTTTTTTTTTTTTTTTTTGCCCTAGGATATTTTGATTCCTTGGGTTTGGGCTGAGGCCTTGGGATCTGGGTCTTTAACAATTTCCCTTGATCATTTAATCTACTTCAAATTCATCTTTCCACAGGCCTTGAATAGAATATTCCTTCTCATGGTCACATGCTTTATGTTCCAACAACGCACATCTGTTTTGAGTATTTTGCCCCAAACTTAGACTGTGCCCTTGGTTATAGGATTAGCAACCTTTTAAAAGAAGCATGCTCAGTATCTCTTTCTTTAGTTTTTCATCATCAGAGCTGGCAGTGCTGGTGGAGTGGTCCATGTCACAGCCCCTCAAACCACCCTATGGGCACCAAGAGCTTCAGTGCAGCACACCAGGGGGGCACCTCTCCAGAGGAATGACCGTTAGTTGCTAGAATACCACTGTGGTTTCCCGGTGTGAGGACTGGCAAGAAGAGAGGAGGGCCTCTGAGTGAGGTCACTGATCAGTTCAGTCATCCACTGGCCCAGCAGCAACTGCATGTCTGCCCCAGTTGGGAATGGAGGTCTGGTCTTAGGTCTCCTCTGATTGGTCAGCGAGACGAATTCCTTTCCTCAATGATTCCACAGTGTGGAATCCTAACTTCCGATGCTGTAGCATATGCCATTAGTCTTTCTACCTCCTTTCGCTCATGCACTTGTGCTCCTCTCTGCACCCTTCTAGCACAGTAACTCACCTGGCACATGTGCCCAGGATTCCCAGGCATCTTACCTACACACCCACAAGCTTCAAAACAAGAAAACAACATTCATTTTGGCAGTTACTAACTCTCGCGTCAACTGCAAATTTTTATGATAGTTGGCAGAACACACAGTGACCTTTCAAAAATTTTCTTTATGCTGTTGTTAGTGCTGTATGGTACAGTTGGTTCACAGTCCAGTGGAGGGGAAAACAGTGGTATTTATTGTTGGATTTGGGAGTGGAAAATTCCTCTTTTTATAGAGGTATAAACACTAATATTAAAGTCTTCTGTCTAGTATCTAGTTATCAATACAAATCCAGACACATTTTTGTTTATAATTCTTTGTTATGTAGGATCTCAGTTCAAATATTTTACAACATTTATGTAACACGGACTGCTCTACATTAAAATTCATGTAATGCTCCTGTTTCTCCAGTTTAAGTCAGTCACCAAAGGATGCTCAAGCTAGCTACAGTGAATCATATAGTTTGAAGGCATTATCAGCCCTCTTTGCTTTTAAACAGGAGAAGATGCACCATGGAAATGCTGTCTCTCTCATTTTCAAGGTCACTGATTGGGTTAAAAAGACAAATGCCTTTTTTCATTGAACTTCCTTCAATTAAGCCATTAACCTTTTAAAATAAGTGTATTCAAAAATCTATCAAAAAAGCTAAATGAGATTTTAACAAAATCCTGGCAATTTCAGCTTAAACATATACCCAGAAACCATATGTGTTTAGGAAGAAATATATACACACAGGCATTGTTTACAGAGTGTGTTTTTATATTTGGCAGACACTGAAGGAAGAGTTATTCCATACATACATTATCTGAAATGTACATTCAGATAGCCCACATAGATTCTGCACTGAAAGAAAAGATATCTCTATCCGTGGGAGATACACAGACAGACTGACTGACTTCAAACTTGCACTTGCAGTGTGGATTTTTCTTTTTCTTTCCTCATCTCCGGGTGCTGCTTTTCAAAATCGCCTCAGGCTACAGAACAGCACCTCAGATCCCCAAGGCCTAGTGCCTAGCTCCTAATAGCCACTCTCCATCTGTGTCACATGAACAGCTGATGAGATCGCTCCAGTGTCTGTATTTTGGAGAGCACATCCACCCAGGTTAAAGTGCTGGGGTTGCCAAGGAGCAGTCAGAAGCCATTAGTGTGGGTGAGAATTTGCCTTGCAGCAGTTCCTTGGCAGGGTGGAAAGCGTGTACACGTGTTCCTGCATGAGCTTGTGTGTGTGTATGTATGTGTGTCTTGTGTTTGTGACGTCCTCGTGCACGTGAGTGTGCAGGAAGGGTAGACAGATGAAGGAAAGACTATATATCCAGTATTCAAAAAGTTAAAAGCCTTTGTTTCCCTGTCCACTGAATACTTGGGTATCTCTCTCTCTCTCTCTCTCTCTCTCTCTCTCTCTCTCTCTCTCTCTCTCTCTCATCATAACAGAAGGCAAAGAAAAAGAGAACAGCAACTTCAGGGTCATGCTCTAGTGTTTGGGCAGATGGAAGGGAGCTGCTTTGCCTTGGGGCAGGGTGGTTGTAATGAAGTGGCCTGTCAGTCTGTAAATAGTGAGGGTCATCTCTTCCATGTGATGGAGGGTATCGCATTGCAGTGAAAATGGAAATGTCAATAAAATTAATCTGCCAGCTCTTTGCTGTGGTTTTTCTGCTTCTCTGGTCAAAGGAGGTTGAGGGTTTTTTCAGGGAGAGAGGAAAAGAACAGGTACAGGGAAGCCCACGGAGCAGACCCAGAAGTTCGAAGGCCAGTGACCCAGTGGGCAGGAAGTCTGTTGTAGCACAATCCGATCTGGGGAGGAGGGAGTGGGTCTGGGAAAGAGCTGGTGGATCTATAGCATTCCTTGGGAAGCGACGGAGCATCCAGCTCAGGCTACATTGAGCACAGAGTTTATTGTTTTAGGCTTTCTTAGACAAGGTTTTTACTTAGCATGGGATTTATGGCATTTACTGCTAATGAATGTCTATTTTTAAATTACGAAAACCCCCATCTCAGTGCAATTCCCAGATGTTCTTCCAGGACCCTGGCTTCTTAAACACCAGCAGGGAGCATGAACTCTCCACTTCTCTGTTTTCCTCTTTCGTGTGGCTCCAGGCTAATGATGTGCAAGGAAAACACAGCCATCTGTAAAGCCCCAGTGCTGTCCCTGTATTCTTCATTTATTTTGCATTTGATTATGCCACAAGTCGGATCTTGTTTCTTTCCCTTTTTTAAAGTTACTAGTTCAAATATTAATGTAGGGATGTGGCATATATTGCTGGTCTTGATGGATGCCTTCCCCAAAACAGGAAGACATGCTTGTATGAATTTTAAGAAAGTAGGGGTCCTGCAATGCCTTGCCAGAAGAGTTTTTCAGATACATCATTTAGATGCCCTCCAGGCAGGCTGTCAAGGCATTTTTGCTGGAGGGCAAGAAAAAATAACTATGACTGTTAAAAGTAAATGATTTTTGCTAATGCACAATTAATGCCAGAGAAAAGCACAGAAGAGAAAGATGTTGATAGAAACTTCTGATTAAGTGAGTGCCCTACCTTGATGTAAACCTCCCCCCACACCCACACGATAATGATCAGTGGTGCAGGGACCTAAAAGTTTTCATTTCATGCAAATGCTGAGTGCAGGGTCATGCGAGGAGTATATGAATGTATGTACTCAGGAGGTGACAGTTCTAGGAAGGGCAGAGCAGGCAGTCCATTGTGTGAAATCAGCAGTGACACAGTTACTGTCACCTATGCAGGCAGCTGAGAATATATAGACTACAGAACATTTAACTTGATTGTCCTACAGTCTGTATGCTCTATGGGCGTGGGGACGAATTGCCACCCAATCGGTTTTCTGCGGGCGATTTTCCCACATTGGATCCCATAATTGACAAAGAGCTACTGCACTGTGTCAAGGACACAATTGTAATTGAATTAATGATATGGGCAAGTGTGAGACACAAAATTAACATTTGAAGAGGGCTGGTTTAATTTTGTTTATTACATATTTGTGTCTCCAATTATACTTTAATGAAAAGAGTATATACCCGCTTAATGGATTTCTTTCAACAAGCTTAGCTGAGCTCGTCATTAGCTACATACTGTTGTTGGCACTCTTGTTATGTTTTCTCTAATGCATCTTCATTTCTTTTTACCAGGGGATGGTTTAGACAACAGTGTAGCTTCACCTGGTACAGGTGATGATGACGATCCAGACAAGGACAAAAAACACCACAAGAAAAGAGGCATTTTCCCCAAAGTAGCAACAAATATCATGAGAGCGTGGCTCTTCCAGCATCTCACAGTAAGTCAAGATGAAAGAGAAAAAAAAGTTTTTGTTGTTTTGCTAAATTCTCCAAGCAAGTTACACTGTCTCATTCAGATTAACAAAAAACAAATCAAAGTGCCTGCCTGTTCTCTCTTTCTTGAAATCTGATGATTAGTAGAGCAGTTAAGTTTCTTTCAACTATTACCATCCAGAATGTATCCCCTAGAGTCTAGAAAGTAGAGACCAGCAGAGGACCTTACTCAAAATGGCCTAGGACTATAAACAGTATGTATAAGTAAACTTGTATGAGTGCAATTTTAGATAATGCAACCACAAGCAAAGGACATTGCTGTAAGGAGCTCACAGACCCATGAACATTGCTGATTACATTATTAATGAAAGTGTCTCCTCTAAGAGGCAGAAAAGCCTCTTGCCACGTGCATGCCCTAGCTCATGGCATCAGGTGCAACTTTCCTCCCTGAAGCAGTTTGCAAACATGTCATGTGTTCATCCGACAAATAAAGAAGGTCATAGGTGCTATAAGGCCTTTGTAAAGTGGAAATTAATTTCTATTATTTTTTAGCCATTCAAGTCCATTATCTTAAAAGTTAACCCTGTTCACTTTCGGGAAAGGATTAATTATGTGCAGTATTTTTATAGCGACAATTTATTTTTATTCTCCTTTATGCAATCGGTTTTATGTGTCGGTATATACTGTTGACTTTAAGACTCTCATGACAAAAAAAATGACAATATATTTTTTACAGAGAAACTAGGTGTGCTTATATTTTACTGTCCATTTATATATTCTGGGAAAATGGTAAAAATTTCAGAGGATGTTTCTTGCCATAATATTGTTTTCAGGCCATTCTATTTAGCCTAATGCTTAAAAAATAGAGTGACACATTGGAAGCTGAAGGTCTTCTTTGATTATCCAACTTGTGTGTTGCCCTGCTGAATGACATTAGTTACAGTGTCATGAGTCCAGGACAAGTTCCACTTTTATTTATGGTGGTGGCTGCAGATCTGCTCTTCTCACAGAGCTACAGAGAGCAAAGGGTGGAGTGGCTGTGGGGAGGGACAAGTGGTAGATTCACATTCCTAAATCGGGCATGTTGATGTAAGGACATTAGTAGCAAACGAAGGTGTATCGATCTGGCCCCTGGTGTCAGGATTAGCTGGGAGAATGACAAGCCGGCCGTGGTGGTGGTTATTCTTGCCTAGGAGCTATGGCCATTTTAAAAGTCAGGGCCTTGCACTGACTTGGCTCAAAGGAATTAGACAGAGCATGCAGTCTCTGGGCTGATTACTTAACCAAAGACAAAATAATGAGTCCTAAGCAAATACTGACTAATTGAAAGGGCTGTAAATCCATTACATATTGGTCAGGGATAATCAGGAGTATTTAATCACTTTTATCTATTCGGGAGCACTGAAGCTGCAACAGCAAAGCCCTGAACCTTGCCATGTGGTTATTATTCTCATCATTATCAAAATTACTTCACAGCTGTTTTCTGCTACATCACCTCAGCTGGAGATTTACTAACCTGTAAAATGTTTTTAATTTGGAAGTCGAGTGAGTGTGAGGGGAGGGCTTTCTCATTTTTAACCCAAGGTTTTTGTTTGGTTAGAGTAGCAAGTAGGAAAGGCTGCAGAGCCGCCGAGGGCAGTGGGTTTCTCCTGCCTGGCTCACCTGCTTGTGGGCTCCTCACTCCTGGTCAGGCTCTTCTTTCCTGCTCCGCCTTTCTTGGTTGAAAACAAAAACTCCAGCAGTTGCTTTCTGACCAAACATCTGCCTGTGTTTTCAACCCTCCTTTCCTCAGAAGCCATGCCACAGAATAAGCAGCACCTTAGAGAATTTAGCTGCTCTGTTTACAAATGAGGAAACTGAAATTCATGAAGGGAAGCGACTGGCTGAAGGTAAACTGGAGGACCTAAGCCTTCTGAGTCACTCACTTGGTGTTTTTCACAGATTAGGACAACTTTGCTAAAATCATCACCATCTTTAGTAGTTCACAGAAATCTCACAGCCTCTGCCATCAGTACCGCCTGCCCACCTGCTTTGTCCAAGCTCCACTTCCGCTTTTGTCTACCTCCCTATTACAATCCAAATTGTCTTGTGGCATGTGTTTTACTGCCTCATCTATACCTCCAAAAGAGCCAGACCACATAGGTATCCATGTCTAAATCTTTAGCATCAGACTGTTTCTTTTTTGTTGTTGTTATTTTTTGTTTTTTGGTGCCGGGGATCCAACTCAGATACTTCCGCTTGCACAGCAGGCGGCAAAACCACTGAGCCAAATCCCCGGCACAAAATATTTTCTTTACTTTTTTTTTTTTTGGTACCGGGGATTGAACTCGGGTCCTTGCACTTGCACAGCAGGCAATGAAACCACTAAGCTAAATCCCTGGATCAGACTGTTTCTTATACAGAGTGGGTGAATAATAGATACGTGTGAGTGATGGAAAAAGAGAAAAATCAGGAAGCAAATGCAGACATGCAGAACTTCTAATACAGAGTGTGGAAATCCTGCCATACCTAAGAGAGCTGGGACACAGAGGAGAAATGGGGGAGGAAACGGGAGAGCTGAGACAGCCTGAGTGGGCTGGGGAGGTAACCCAGACCTGTAGGTGCATGTGAGGCAGAGCATGTGCAGCTGGGTGAGTTCAGAAGAATTCGATCTGTCTTTTGTTTCTTCAGTCTGTTTTTTCCACATAGGGTGAAAAGGCTTACTTTGGGCTATAAAATAAGCTAGTGGACATGAATGTTCACAGCAGCACTGCTGATAATAGCAGAAAAATGTCCATCAGTACATGACTGAACAAACAAAAGGTAGTCTGTTCATACATTATTCACCCTAAAAAGAAATGAACTTCTGGCATATGCCGCAGTATCGGTGGGCTCCAAAAACATGCTAATATGAAGGCAGCCTGCCACTGAAGTGTATATAGGGTAGTGGTGGCAAACCTATGCACGCATTTTGCAACAAGCATGCAGAGCCCCCGTCAGCATGCAAGCCAAGTGTATGAGTTGCTTTCTCTGAACTGAAACCTCAGTATTCAGGTTTAATTGCAGTGTTGGCACTTTGCGATAACTAAGTGGGACATGGGTTGCAGTCTGGGCCCTCAGTCTGTAAAAGGTTCACCATCACCAGTAGATGGCATGATTCCACTTATATGACATATCCAAAATATGTAAATCCACAGACATGGAATACAGGCAAGTGGCTGCCATGGTTTGGGGTAAGCAGGGAGTAAGGAATAACCATATGGGGCTTCCTTTTAGGGTGATGAAAATATCTCGGAACTAGATAGAGATGGTGTTACACAGCACTGCAAATGCTTTACATGCTACTGAATTTTAGAGGTTGAGCATGGTTAATGTTCTGTGATATAAATTTTATGTCAATTTTTCACAAATAAGCTAATGGGAAATACATCCATCTTGACAAATCCCATTTTTGGAATCTTCCTTCATTTTAGGGAGCTGGAAATTGCAGGTAAAGCAAGACTAGGTCTCTCCCAACTTGAGGCAAGTGTAGCACAGTGGCTTCCCTCCTGGCATTCTTGTAGGAACACTATTCCTTGTGCAACACTATTCCCCACTGGTTTCACGTTGTTCTTAGAATAAAGACTAAACTTCTTGCTTTGAACCATAAGGCCTGGTGTAATCTGCTTCCTCCTCCTCCCATCCTGCTCATCTTGTTCCTTGCTCCTCTACAGTCCAGGCCCACAGCCTACTTTCTGCCAAAGCCTCCGTACTCTCTTCTGTCACATGGCCTTTACATGTACTACATCCAGCTTTCCTGAACCTCAACCTAGTCAACTCAGCCTCATCCTTGTGGCAAAGACTGCTACCTTCCCAATCCCTACATCCATCCTCACCTTCCTTTTACAACAGAACTTCCTGTACAGCTATCTAGATACTGACATCACCCAGGCTACCTTATAGCTGTACGGCATATATGTCATTAAGTTCTGGCCAAGCAACGACATGGATAGCTTCCAGGTTGCCTCTTGAAAGTCTTTTGTGTGTCCTCCCCTCTTCCTGGCTCAAACCAACAACCACAGGAATAGCCTTGGAAGCCAAGTGTTGAGGATGGCAGAGATGCCCGCAATCCGTAAACTGTTCCCTCTGGACTGTGGTATGGAAGAGAAAGAAACATTGAAGCCACAACAGTGTAGCATCTTTGTTAAAGCAGTTTAGCTTGTATCCCAATCTACACCTAGCTCAACTGGATCATATCAAAGCCTTTCCCTGACGATGTAACCAGTTTCCATGTTTCTGTCATGGGTGCTCTCAAACACCCGAGACACCTTATTTCTGTTGCCATATGTTAACTGTGAGGGGGGAGAGTGTTAGTGCCTGCCTCCTCCTAAGGACGACTCTAAGTCCCTCAAAATCAGAGGTCACATCCACCTAACTCACCATGCAAGCCCCAGGCCCAGCACCCGGCACACAGTCGGTACTCAATTACATTACTGAATGAAATGTATTAATTATTTAAATAATAATACCACATCACCTCTCTAAATGGGGTCAAGATGGTGTATAACTGTAAGTGAAACATAACTAGTCTTGAAGAAAAAAAACAAACTTCATTGCAGGACTGGAAAAAAATGGTGTAGATCTGTGCTTCAGGGTGAAGATGAGTCCATGCAAGGTCACGAATAGCTATTAAATGAGATGACACTTTGACTGATTCTCTTTCATTATTTTTAGTGTTATTCAGAACAGTCCCAAATAATATAGTTACAACCCAGCAGCATTCCTCCCTCGAAATATAGCTGTCATTCCTGTAGAGTAAGTTTCAGAAATGTTTATATATTATCAAAATTAAGTTTCAAAATGAGCTACAGTATCTGGGAAAGGAGGAGGATAATATTTTACAGAAACTAATTGGAAACTTGTTTTGAAATAAAGTAGTTATTATTTCCATCATGGAGAGATGAAAGTACAAAGATTTCCTTTTATCTTACCCACCCTAGTAGCTTACATTATTTATTCAAACTGAAATTAAAACCTGGCCAAATCC